ACCTACCTCACAGGGTGTCTGTTGTGGGGAGGGGAAGGGAAAGGAGTTTGTGAGCCGCTCTGAGACTCCCTTGGGTAGTGAAGGGCGGGGTATAAATCCAATCTCTCCTCCTCTTCTTCTTCCCAGCATTCCTCCTTGCCCTGCTCAAGTACGGAGTATTTAAATCGCAGTTGCTGACAAATCACTGCAGTCATAAAGCAACCCCACTTCCTGCGTAATGTGAGAAGGCCGGTCATGTGGTTCTCTCAATCATATGGAAGGATGGGACACGCCCCCCCCTTCAGATACAAATTAGTTGCCGACTGTAGGATGCTGCAGGGATCCTATGCCTTTAAGAGCTGTAGAACAGGCAGACAATCAACAGGGAAAGAACGAGGGAAATTCAAATTGCAGTCTGCATTTTATGCAGCTCTCAAAAGCATCAAAAAGGAGGCCAAACAGAAAAAATGCATGGTGAGCCGCTCTCCATATTGTCTATAGCACACCTTGCCTTCAAAAGTTTGCTGTCTGTAGTGCTCTCCGATTCTGTAATCCCAGCCCTGTTGCATTGTTCATGGGTTGCCTTATGCTGTCCGACTGCACTGTTCTATAGCCAGAAATCTGCCTTGAGTCTCAATGAGAAAAGCGGATTTCCAATAAAATAAAATAAAATAATTAACTGAATACTATCACTGAGACTGGTAGCTAGGAAAACAGATATACCACTCAAGGATATTTAGTTTGGGAGGTACCGTGAAGAAGAGGAGAATGGATTTATACCCCATGGCCCTTCACTACCCAAAGGTGCCTCAGAGCGGCTTACAAACTCCTTTCCCTTCCCTTCCCCACAACAGACACCCTGTGAGGCAGGTGGGGCTGAGAGAGCTCTTGACAGAAACTGCTCTTTCAAGAACAGCTCTGACCAGAACTATGGCTTGCCCAAGGTCATCCAGCCAGGTGCAAGTGGAGGAGTGGGGAATCAAACCTGGTTCTCCCAGACTAGAGTCCGCACACTTAACCATGACACCAAACTGGCTCCCAGATTAGAGTCTGCGCACCGTGGGATGAAGAACCCAAGTCTCACATGGAGGAAGTCCCAGGAATCGCTATGGGGAAGAACCACGGGTCAGTGGTAGAGCCTCTACTCAGCAAGCAAAAGGTCCAGCCAGTAGGTGCTGGGGAGAGACCTCTCTGCCTAAGATGCTGGGGAGCAGCTTGCGATCTGAGAAGACTGATCTTGACCGACTGATTCAGTAGAAGGCAGCTTCGTGTCCTCAGTACTGACCTGGATGGACCAGTGATCTGATTCAATCACTATAGAGCAGCTTCGTGTGTGCAGTCTTCCTCATCTTTCTGGGGTGTGGCTGTGTCCCAGCAGTAGAGTATCTGTTCCCCCATACAGAAAATCCTGGGTCCGGTCCCCGGCACCTCCAGTCGAAAGGACCATGCAGCAGGCGATGTGAAAGACCTCAGCTGGAGACCCTGAGAACCGCTGCCAGTCCAAGCAGATGGATCCGTGGTCTGATTCGGTTCATGCATGTGTATCTTCCGGTGCGAGGATCTTTGGGGGGGGGGGGTGTTCCTTGGGGCCGAAAGATCTCTTTCCCGCATCGCGCTCCGGCCAGAATTGAAATGAGGGTTTCAATCGGCAAGTACTATAGTGCCGACATTCTTCCTTGGAAGTGGGGGGACAGCTATGCCCCAAAGCAATAGCCTGCTCAACGTTGACTTGAAAGAAAGACCCCCAAGGGAGGACACGATCAACATTATGTCACGTGAAGAAGAGTACCTAGCCCAGTGATGGCGAACCTTTTAGAGACCAAGTGCCCAAACTGCGACCCAAAACCCACTTATTTATCGCAGAGTGCCAACACGGCAATTTAACCCGAATACTGAGGTTTTACTTTAGAAAAAACTCATACATTAACTTAAGATGATTCAAACAAAGTAAGGAACGCAATCCCAAATGCTTTCATTTACTTAAAATTATTTGGCAGAGAATTCGACACTTTAATGATGGTCTGGGCCTGGCTGGGGCGATGGCACGCGTGCCCACAGAGAGGGCTCTGAGTGCCACCTCTGGCACCTATGCCATAGGTTCGCCACCACTGACCTAGCCTGTTTGGTGTAGTGGTTAAGTGCGCGGACTCTAATCTGGGAGAACCGGGTTTGATTCCCCACTCCTCCACTTGCACCTGCTGATGTGACCTTGGGTCAGTCACAAGCTGTGGCACAGCTGTCCTTGAAAAAGAGCAGTTTGTGTCAGAGTTCTCTCAGCCCCACCCACCTCACAGGGTGTCTGTTGTGGGGAGGGGAAGGGAAAGGAGTTTGTAAGCCACTCTGAGACTCCAAGTGAAGGGCGGGATATACCATCCAATCTCTTCTCTCTTCTTCTTTTCTTTTCGTTAGGCTTGGGTTAATAATAAGAGGCTTGTGTGTGTTTTATGTGCCACCAAGTCACTTCTGACAGCGACCATATGAATTAAGGTCTTCCAAAACATCCTTGTCGCTAACGGCCTTGCTCAAGTCTTGCCAATGGAAGGGCCTCCTGCCTTCCTGTATAGTCCACTGCCACAGGAGGTGGCAGCGGCTACAGGCATGGGCAGCTTCAAGAGGGAATTAGATAAGCATATGGAGCAGAGGTCCATCGGTGGCTGTTAGCCCCACATGGTATAGATCGGGACTCTCAGTCTGGGGCAAGGGATGCTCTGTATTCTTGGTGCGTGGGGGAGGAAGCAACAGTGGGAGGGCTCCTAGTGTCCTGGCCCCACTGGTGGACCTCCTGGTGGCGCCTGGTATTTTTGGCCACTGTGTGACCCAGAGTGTTGGACTGGATGGGCCACTGGCCTGATCCAACATGTACTTCCTTTATGTTCAGTCCATCTCATGCGGGGTCATCCTCTTTTCCTCCCGCCTTCCAACTTTTCCTAGCAAGAGAGGCTTGATGAGATGTGCCAAGTGATGTTATTGCCCTCCGTGCCACAGAAAAGCCACACTCGGCCATTTCCACGCAGGAAGCCTCGATTAAAAAAGGAGAGGCCATTTCCCACAGGCCTGTTGGAAACAATGAAGTCAGTAAATGAGAAAGATGACTTCGCTGCACTTGCCTCAAATTAACGGAAAGGAATCAATTCATAAATGAACTCTTCTACACGAATGGTGCATCGTTATTAATGCTCCCTCTAAACTGTGGAGTCTTCTGAGCAAAAATTCTACTTTGTAAGCTACTGGCATTAAAGTTGTGAGCAATCAATTTGGCTACTGCACAGATTACTTTGCTCTGGAGCCATTCTTCCTGAGCCAAGACAAAAATCTGTGAGCCGGAGGCTAAAAAACTGTGAGCTAGCTCACACTAACTCAGCTTAGAGGGAACACTGATTGTTATATATATATATAAATAAATGGGAGAATGCTGTCAGCTGCTTTGGGTCCCTATTGGGGAAAAAGTGGGGTATAAATGAATAAAGCTTGAGATGGCTCTTTGAATACTACTCCCGATCTCATTTCCCTGATACACACATGGGGCATTTGTCAGGACGGTCCAAATCGGAAATCGTGCCAAGCTTGAGCGCTATCTGTATTCTCTTCCATTTCAAGCACCGTCTCTCTCAGTTGATCTCAGGAGAATAGTGACAAATGTTCTAGATTAATTTTGACTGCCATATTAACATGTCCCGGATCCCCAAAATTTTACATAGACGCTTGCGCATTTGACACTGCCTTACTCTGAACCGGACCCTGGGTCCATCAAGGTCAACACCACCGTCTACTCAGATGGGCAGCGTCTCTCAGGCAGAGGACTTTCATGTCTCCTGTGAAAGATAAATGGAGATTACTGACCACGAATGGGTGTGTGTGTGTGATTTCCTGGCTCTGAATCCCAGAGCCAGGAAGCAACATCAGGGGAAGGCCCCAGCGTCCCTGCCCTGCTGTTGGCCCTCCGGAGGAACTGGCTGGGTTGCTGGACTAGACGGCCCATTGGACTGATCCAGCAGGGCTCTCTCCTTATGTCCTTAACATCCTACCCAGACTCAAACATCCCTAGAGGGTAGTCCTACAGATCCCTTTGAAGTATTTCACCCAAATCAAACTGCTCAGGGGATTTCTTCAGCACACCCCCTGCCGTGAATGCAGAAGATCCCTGGTTGAACTGGCAGCCTCTCCGGCAAAAGAATCTCCGGCTCCAGGCACTGGGGGTAGCTTCTTCTGGAGAGCCACGTGAACAATACCTGGCTGTGCGGTCCAATGGTCTAAGCCGGAATGAAGCAGCCTCTTCTGTTTTGTACACAGAACTGCTGGAAAACTCGAATGCTGCTTTTGTTCTGCAAACAACCTGAGAATATAACCTGCTGCCCTAGAAAGTATCAAAATCACGGGGGTGGGGGTGGGTGTTGGTGTTGTGGCTAAGTGCGCAGACTATAATCTGGGAGAACCGGGTTTGATTCCCCACTCCTCCTTCGCGTGCAGCCAGCTGGGGGACCTTGGGCCAGTCATAAGTTCTTTCAGAGCTGCTCTCTCAAGGGCAGTTCTTGCGAGAGCTCTCTCAGCCCCACCTACCTCACAGGGTATCTGTTGTGGGGAGGGGAAGGGAAAGGAGTGAAGGGTGGGGTATAAATCCAATCTCTGCTCTTCTTCTTCCTAGAGGGAAAAACTCAGTGAGAATTGGGGGGGGGGGATATTTTCGCTATTGGGTCTCTGCCTTGCACAAGTATCTATCATGACGCAATTAGACATGGAAGCTAAGGTCCAAGCAGACCTATCGCCGTATCCTGATGCTTTTCAACGGCCCCGTCCAAGGCTAACAGGCAATGAAGCGGCACAGAGCGACAGTCCCAACCACCTCCTATTCCTCACCTACATCCAGAACCGGTTGTTCTCTCGGTAAAACTTGTAAACTGCCTAGAACCAGGAGGAAAGGCGGGATGGAAATGTTTCAATAAATAAATTAAAAAATTGATGCAACTCATTAAGCTTGAACTGCACAACATAAGCAGACACCAGACGCCTCCCTCTTTCTCCGATGGATCACCTTTTATTTAGGTTCACAGTTTTCCCACAAACTCTTACCTCCCCTTTGCTTGGTCTCGCTCCGGTTTCAGGGTCAATGGAGTGCCAACTCCCCCTGCCCCCTTCCAGTTGTTTCTTTTGCAGGGGGGAAAGGGGGCAAACGCAGAAGTCCTCAGAGCACTCGGCTAGTTTTTATCTCTGGTTCCAACAGCAGGGGAGGTTACCTTCCACTTCGTGTGTGTGTTTGTTCAATAAGATGATACAAAACAGATTTTTAAAAGCCTAGGTTCCTGCTGCATGCACCAGGACGGGGCTTTACAGAAAAATATTTTTGACCTGGCATGCACATTTAATGCCAAGAGGGTGTTTGCCATGGGCCACCAGATGGCCCATTCTACTTACTCCCCCCACAGCCCACCCCGCTGCCACCTGCCTGCCAATGTTTCCCTCCAACACAGGGCTCTTTCCACTGACTCGACAGAATTGAGTATGGCTATCCCAACCAATGCTCAACTCAGGGAAAAGGTCGAGCGCCCAGGACAGGTCTCTGCTGCTTCTAGCCAGAAGAAAAAGCCAAGCAGAACTATGGGGGCTGTGTACAGGTTTCTCTCTAACACCACCATATATCTGCTGTAGGGACCACATGTGTGTGGGCTATTCCAGGTCCCTGGTTTTTTCTGCTCCAAAAAGCAAACAACAGGCAAAGCTGGTAGGGACGGGCGAAGAGGGAAGAGGGGAGTAAGAGACGGGCCTCCATGCCACGTCTGCTGGCGAGGCAGCGTTCACATTGTCCCGGCTACAAAATGGAATTATCCAGGCTATTGTACCGGCAAAGATTTGTGGTCCAGACAGCATCTGCTCTGTTGGCGCTCAGCAGCATCTGCTGGAGCTCGTTGTTGACCCGGGAAAACTTCTCCTCGTCCACGGAACCGTCGAGCAGCTGGGAGGAGGTGGGCGGCCACGGCAGGTCTTCCCCGTAGCAGTCCACGGGGTACGGGTAGATGACGAGCTTCAAGTCCAAGAGCCTGATGGTCTGGTGGAGCAGGTTCTTCAGTCCTTTGGAGGAAACGGGGTTACCAAAGAACCCCAGGTAGCGGAGCCGCGAGCAGCGGCAGAGGGCGGGGAGGAGGGTGCCCAGGTGGGTGTCCATCATGCGGCACTCCATGATGTCCAGGTGCAGCAGGGTGCCCGAAGCCTCGGCCAAGAGGACCCGGAAAGGCTGGAGGAGGCAGTCAGAGAGGTTGTTGCCGCTGAGATCCAGCTTCTTCAGGGCGGGGGTGTGGAGGCTCTGGGAGAGATAGGCGAGGTCGCTTGGCAGGAGGTAGCAGAAGGCCAGCTCCAGGCTCTCCAGGGGGCTCTGCAAGTCTCTGTGGATACAAGGGGACACGACACTGAAGCACTCTGGAGGCCTCCTCTGCTCCCTCCACCACCACGAGCCTCCCCTGCTCCCAACTGCTCCCCCGCTCTGACTCCTGGCTTCACACCACCCAGGCTCCTCCCCCCAAGATGCAAGGACCCTTGGGGTTGCCACACAGGAGGAACAAAGGGGGTGCAGGCCTACCTGGATGGGCGTGCTACATCAATGACCACCACCCCATGCCCACTGGACAGTCAATAAGGGGTGTGGAGACTGCCGCTTGTCAGGCACTTTCAGGTGCCCCCCCCCCCCCGGTTGCCTCCCACCTCACGGTAACGGCTAAGGTCACTACCCCTTGGGGAAAGCACTGGCCGCCCAGCCTGAGTGATGAAGTGATGAAGAAGTGGAGAAACAGCTACAATATGGGTGCGTGCGTATCCCTTTCTCAAGTGAGGGCCCCATCTTCAGACACCTAAATCCACAGATCAGATTACCCAAAACACATTGCACTGGTCCTGCTGCTGCTGGCCTTGCAAACATGCCCGCCCGCCGCCCCCCTCGCTTTCCACTGCAGAGATTCTCTGGGACATTCTGCTGGACTTGTATTGCCTTGCTCTTTTTCCCCACTGCCAACAATGGAGGGTGGGGACACCCTCTTTGGGTGCCCATAGGATTGGACCCCCGGTCCAATCTTTTTTTTTTTAATTTGGGGGTTCTTTTGGGGAGAGACTCCAGCAGCTACACTGCAAATGTGGCGCCTCTACCTCAACCCCCCCCTCCCCCAGCCCACTGAATACATCATAAGAGATTTGTCATTGAGTATAATGGCCCCATGGGGTATAATAGAGCCGAATATCTTCGGTATTGCCGAAGATTCAGGAATATTCAGGAATGAAGAATACCTGAATTTTTTTTAAAAAGGTTTTTTTCCTTGCATACCTCTATTCCCAACCCAGCTACCAATTAATCTTAAAAAATAACAATTTCTAATTAAATGATGGTAATTTGTCCACTTGAAACCCAGTCTAGTTCAGGCTTTAAGGTTTCTGGTCCCAGAAATCGAACAGGCCCCTCTTTTGGAAACATACCAGATTAATTAATTAATTTGATTTCTCACCCAGGGTGGGTTTCAAAATTACAAGGCTCAGGGCCGGTTGCAACAATAAATATAACACAATGAATTTTAAACAATACAACATAATTAATTACACTATCAGTAAAATCTATACAAACACCAGATAGCTAACTCGTTAGATGGTGATCAGGCACAAGTCAACAACTGTTCCCATAAAACCCTATATATTTGTGCCTTTGGATAGTGACTGGTACTAGGGCAAGTGGGTGGTGAAAAAGACAGCAAAGCAGATGGCACAAGGCACGTAGCACAGGGCAAGTACCGTGCAGGGCAGTGTAGAGCAGAGGAGGCCAAATGCAGATGAACTTCTGCTGCCTCCACCACAGGGCCTGGCGGAACACCTCTGCTTGACAGGCCCTGTGGAACTGCAATAAGTCCCGCAGGGCCCTGATCTCACTTGGGAGAGTGTTCCACCTGGCCGGAGCCAGAGCTGAGAATCACCGAAACATGTCGGTCCATAGAGTGCAAGGCTCTCTGAGGGATGTACTGTGAGAGATATCTCACTCTCTCTTTTGCCCACTGGTAGCCACTTCATAATAGCGATAAATGACATAAGACTTTGCCAAGCGATCACCAAGCATGACCTCGCCAGGTCCAAGAAGCCCACCATCCATGCTGAGCTATTAGCTCAGGGATTTTTGCTGGACTGCTGCAGAAGAGGGTGTTCCACCGTGCTGAAGCCACCATCTGAGTGGTTCCACCCCCCACCCCACCCCCAGAAGCCTCCTGTCCCCTCCCTTGCACCAGTAGTTCGCAGGCAGCGTAAGAGCCCTGAACAGGCCAGTTCCAGCCCCCGGGCCTTATGCAACACATCCCTGGGACAACCGATCCCCCGGACTCGAACGGCTTACCCCAGTAGCTGGGTTAGTTTGCCCGACAGTCTGGAGGAGCCCAGGTTGAGCTCCTTGAGGCACGCCAGGCGGCTGAGCTGGGTGGCAAAGTACTGCAGGCTCCCTTCCATGCCCACTGTGAGGCGCCGAACGTCGATGTTGCTGTAGGGCAGCTTCAGGCTCGCCAGGTTGGTGAACTTGGCCAGGTGGGGGAGGACCACTCTCAAGCCAGAGAGGCCCAGGTTGTTGAAGCGCAGGTCCACCTGCCGGACGCCGGCGGGGTCCAGGAACTCCAAGAGCCCCACGGTGCTGGCGATGGAGAGCTCCTCCACGCGGAAGTTCCGGCACCTCAGGCGCAGCGCATTGCTGCTGTTGATCTGCAAGGCGTCTTTCAGGACCCCGTAGGAGGTGCTGTTCACGAAGAGGTCCACCCAGACGTCCACGGAGACAGGCTGAGGGGGCGGCAGAGCCATGGAGCTGTTGTAGGGGCCTTTCCTCCTCTTGGAGGCCCGCTTGATGCACTTGCTCTGCTGCTTGGAGATGTCCAGGCAAGCTTTCGCCAGAGTGACCGTCCTGGACCACAGGCTCATGGTCTCGGGGCCCTGCCCTTCGTCCTGAAGGCCGGTCATATCTAGGATCTGCAGCCGCGGGCCTTTACTGCCAAGGGAACCAAACAAGCAAAGCAATTAGGGCACTGTTACTCAAGTTTCATGCCTAGGCAAAAGGGCCAGTTTGGCACAGTGGTTTAGTGTGCGGACTCTAATCTGGGAGAACCGGGTTTGATTCCCCACTCCTCCACTTGCACCTGGCTGGATGACCTTGCCAGTTTGGCGCGCCTCAAGGAGCTCAACCTCCTTCCCACTGAACCTCAGAAATAAGGGTGGGGGGCTTTGTCAGCTTTCAGTTGCAAATCTTGGAATGCAGGGCCTCCCTCACAAAAGAGGCATGAAGACTAGAGAACCCTTGAAAGTTCCCACCTCCCTGCCCATGCAAAGCCCATGTGCACAGGATGATGTGCAAACACTACACTGATATCAACAGCAGAATCACAGCAAACGGTTCAATTTTCCCCCAAGTCCTCATAGATTTATTGCAAAAGATTAATTTTTTTAGCAAATATTTTTATTTTCAAAAAACAACCCAAACACACAAACTTTCAGATATAACCAACCATATAACAATTTCCAATTGAGTTTGTTAAGTACACGGACTATAAAACTTTTCAAAATTAACTACTAGCTAATATCCAAGTCTTACGAGGAAAGGCTGAAAGAGTTGGGTATGTTCAGCTTGGGAAAGAGAAGGCTTAGAGGGGACATGATTGCAGTCTTCAAGTATTTGAAGGGCTGTCATGTAGAAGATGGAGCATATCTATTCTCTCTTGCTCTGGATTGCGAGACTAGATCTAATGGGTGGAAATGACAAGGGAGTCGTTACCGGCTAAATATCAGGAGAAACTTCCTAGCTGTAAGAGTGGCTGAGCAGTGAAACAGACTGCCTCGGGAGGTTGGTGGATGCTCCTTTGCTGGATGTTTTCCAAGCGGAGGCTGGGCGACCCTCTTTCAGGTATGTTGTAGGTATGTAGGGCTCTCTTTCGGCTATGCTCCTGCAGAGTGCAGGGGGTTAGTCTAGATGACCTGCAAGGTCCCTTCCAAGTCTAACATTCTATGATTCTATGTTCTTAAACTGCTTAAGTTTTATGTTGGAGCAATACCCTTCAAAAATAAAGTCTCAATAATATGAATTTTCTGGGATTATATTATTTTCTGTTAGGTACTCCACTACAGGAAACCAAAAAGCTCGAAAGGTGCTTTGATGATTGTGTGTGCTATTCTCTGTGGGGTGACTCAGAATTTTACTTAAAATAAAGTGCTCCCAAAGCTTGTTCTGCCACAATTGAAGGGATGGACCTGAAGCCTCTCTCCATTCCTTCGCTATTACCGTTCTTGCCGTTGCTAAAAGGTAAGAAATTAATTTTGCCTTATAATTATTTCCGGCTAAATTTAACCCATTGGCAAGAAGTGCAAATTCTGGTCAGGAAAGAGGAGTACAAATTTAGTCAATACAATATAAGAAGTAAATAAGCCTGGAAGCAGCATGTTAGAACGGACACGAGTTGGGCGTGTGCAAATGTAATAATTTTATCGGCCACTCTGTGGTTTTAAAGAGCGCCACAAAGGGCCAACACGATTGCACCCCCACTTTTGGGAATCAGCGAGACTGCGTAATTTGTCACGTACCTCTTACTGCGGTGTCGGTCTTCCAGCGTTTTAATCAGATACGTCACCACCCCCAAAATCACCGTCTGGATGCAGAGCTTGTTGGGCCTCTCCCGGATCAGGGCGCGCTCGCAGTGCTGGCACTTCCGCAAGAGCTTCTGGAAACTCAGGACCGGGAATGGCCAGGTCTGCACTAAGTCTTGCAACGCCAGGGTCCTCTTGTCCATGAAGGCCGCTTTGAACAAGACTGGGTAGAGGTCCTTGGGGAGGAAGCCCAGGGCGCCACGCAAGGTGGCATGGTGGGATACGACCTTCTGCGCACAGAGGAACACCAGGGAGTGCATGGCGGCACCCCGGCAGCGAGCCAGGCCCGCCGATCCACAGACCTGTGGAAAGAAGAACTGTGCTTAGGTGTCTCTCCCAATGTATTCCAACAGCTCGGTGTTTGTTGCAAGGCCACACTTCAGAAGCACAGGCAGAGAAACAGGCATCGACAAGATACAAACAGGATGATGGGATTGCAGTAGGAACACCTGAACTGTCTTCTGCTGAATCAGACCACCGGCCCATCAAAATCAGTACTTGTCTACTCAGACTGGCAGTGGCTCTCCAGGGTCTCAGGCAGAGGTCTTTCCCATCGCCTCCTACCTAGACCTTTTAACCGGAGATGTCGGGGATGGAACCTGGGACCTTCTGCATGCCAAGCAGAGGCTCTAGCACTGAGCCACGGCATAGAATAGCCATTATGTTCCTCACTATTGACCTCTGAGGAAGGCCTACGTAGGCCGAAACGCGTCAGGTCAGATTTATCAGCCCTTGTGTTTTATCGTTTGTTATTTATACGTAACATGTGATTGGGCCTTTATATAATTTTTACATTTGTGATTAATAAATACATGTTTTTATATATATTTCCTTCATTAAGTTTTTAATAATGGCCCCCTTTCTTGCATTTGACTAACCTTTGTCAGGTTCTGGATTCTAAGTTTTAGGTTCAGGTTTTTCCCCCCTCCCCCCTTTTTTGTCCCTGTGTGAATATCTTTTTTTTTTGGCCCCCCAAAGGGGATTTTTTAAATTACATTTTTATAAACACTACATACTATAACAGAAATAGGGCAGGGGACTACACTAGGGACAAACTAAAGATACCCACTAATACCTAAAAACCCAAGAGAAGAGATCTTCTAATCAGCTTATACAAAACATCTTCATCCCGCTAGCCCCTTTACACTGAGTCAAGTATATATCATTAACTTTTTAAATTCTTAAATTCAACTATTGTTAAGAAATACCCCCAAGCATCAAATTTTAAACCTTTTTCAAAGGCACAACTCAGAGTCCTTCAGCCTTCACTTCTCCTTGCCCCGTCTCTTCCGCAACTTATAAGGACTTTTAGGAGCTGCTGCACCTTTCTCAGAAAGAGAGTCCTTCCCGGAAGAATCTGAGTCCAGCTCGCCACTGGACTTACTGTCCTCTTCTTCTTCTTCTTCCTCCTCTGGCCCTCCCATCTGTGTGAATATCATTGGAACATACGGTCACCTAAGCTGTGACTTTGCTCTCGCTTTTTTAGACCATGTTCCAGCGTTTTAGGTGTATTTTAAATTACTGTTATTTTATTTATGTTTATATGTATACGACAGGTTTTAATTGTATTTTATATGAAATTTTATGTGAGTCGCCCTGAGCCCGCCTCAGCGGGGTACAAACCAAATTAAATTAATTATTAATTAAAGGTGCCACTGAACTCAAACTTTGTTCTGCCGCTCAAGACCAACATGCCTACCTGAATCTATTTTTAAAAACCTTTTGTTCCCTGCCTTTCAAAGGGCGCAAAACATTTACTCATAGGTTGCATGAGACTGAAGGCAAATTTGGCTAACAAAAGTAAAGAAAGAAAAAAGTGCAGTGCAGCAGGAGACCCACAAGAAACAATGCAACAGGATTAGGAATACAAAACGGAATGACAATGGGAGAAGCAATGTTAATAGCAAACTGCCTAAGGCAAGGCGCAGCATGAACACAGCAGGGAGTGGCACTACCGAGGTAAAAGCCAAAATGGGAAGGGGAAGAGAAGGAAATAAGTGATACAAGGAAAGAGTTAAAATTTAGGAGAACTGGAAACCGACCTTAACTGCAAAAAGGGGCAGAACAAAACAACCCAAGCATCTGAACAACCAACCAGATCAGAAAGCTCTACCTGTGATACCTGACCTAAGATGATCACGTAAAGGAATTCAGACTCTCAATATTCCAGGAGCAATAAACAAGCTCATTCGGCAACTCATTCTAAGGTGGGCCGTGGCTTCTTAAAAACGATTTCCAAAGTCTTTTTTTCTTTGTACCCAATGAAGAGGAGGAGGAGACTGGATTTATACCCCGCCCTTCACTTGGAGTCTCAGAGCGGCTGACAAACTCCTTTCCCTTCCCCTCCCCACAACAGACACCCTGTGAGGTGGGTGGGGCTGAGAGAACTCTGACAAAAACTGCTCTTTTTCAAGGACAGCTGTGCCAGAGCTTGTGACTGACCCAAAGTCACATCAGCAGGCGCAAGTGGAGGAGTGGGGAATCAAACCCGGTTCTCCCAGATTAGAGTCCGCGCACTTAACCACTACACCAAACTGGCTCCTAAATGCACAGTCATTCTGCCTTGTTGGTGGGTGTTTTCCATTTCACTCTCCTACTGATTGACTTGGGTTATCAAAAATTGGCCCTCAAAATTGAGAGGCCCATGGGGTGGGGATGCACAGCCTAAACCACAAAGAAGCCTAAACCGCAGCCCAAATCTTCCCTTCGACATTACTACAAACTGTGAAGGGTCTGAACAGGCCAATTTCTCCATTCCCATCACTCCCTGCCCCCCTTAACTGGTGTTCCATGCCTCTTAAAGTCCAGTCTTCACCAAGCTACCTCTGGGAGTTTTCTCCCCATTTTTAAGGAAACTTCTTTTGCAGAAATCTCAACTATATCTGAGGGTGGACGAGTTTTGCGGCCCAACTCATAGGCACTTGATTGTTCTTCATCCTTTTAATAGCTGGTTTTAAAGCAGATTTAAGAGACAAGGTTCTGAGAATAACAATGCAATAACAAGTCAAGCTGAAAGGCCAAGAAACAGAACAGGAAGATGCAAACTCCCTCTACAAAGCTCAGGTGTCACAAACCTTCTGATCCCTTGGGCACCTCACAGCCTTGAGTGTTCCAGTTTGCCATTTGTCCCCCATCATACCCGCATATGCAACCTTGCCCAAAAGGAAAGCTCACCCAACTGAAGAAATCCTGGGGAATTAATAAACATACTTGTGTGCAGTGTTCCCTCTCAGCTGAATTATGGTGAGCAAGCTCACAGTTTTTTAAGCCCCCAGCCCACACCTTTTTGTCTTGGCTCAGGAAGGAGGGCTCCAGAGCAAACTAATTCATGCAGTAGCCAGATTGCTGATTCACAACAAAGGAGAATTTTTGCTCACAAGAGTCCACAGCTTAGAGGGAGCATTGCTTGTGTGGTGTCCCTACTCCCAGCTGTCAAGCTGCTACTTTGTGTGTGTATTCTCTCTGGTTTTACTGTATTCTTATTGCAGATTGCAATGCAATTTCTGTTCATATCAAACAACTGTGAAGAGAAGCAAAATCTAGAAGAACCATCCACTCCTAGGTTGAGATCTCTACAATCCCAGTACATGTTTTCCAGGTGCCTTACCCCTACTGATGGCATTGATTTACGTTGAGCAATCCGCCTTGGGTCTCAGCGAAAAATGCAGGCTATACACCTAGCAAAAAGTGCCTGGGCTCAAAGCGGCCCGCGCCACCTGCAGCGTTTGTACTCCAGAGCAAACTAATTGATGCAGCAGCCCAATCGCTCGCTCACAACTTTAATGCCAGTAGCTCACAGGGTAGAATTCTTGCTCACAAGACCCCACAGCTTAGAGGGAGCAGTGGATGTGACCCCCCCCCCCCGAAGACTGCCCCC